TTTAAGTTAACTCACAACTCTGATCAAAGAATTAAAGTACCAAATTTAATAAATGCGAACATACGGTGCTTAGAGTCTCGTTGGTACCTTAGATATTTGAGCTAATTCTTCTTAACCAGTGCGTTGTATGGGGATTATTTTTATTTTTTTATATTAATTCAGAAAAAAGTATATAATTTTATATTCTTATGTTTTATAATGATATTTTAATTAAAAAATTTTAAATTGATTTAAGTATTAAAAATTTATTAATAGAAATAAAATTTTTTTATTTAAAATTTATCTTAAATTAATTTTTTTTTATTTTTTAGGACAAATAAATTTTTTTTCTATGCCATTGTCATTATCCATTCAATTTAATTAATCATCCAATCACAAAAATTCTTTCTTTATCTTTTATTTCTTTTTTATGGATAGTGTAAAAAAATATAAAAATTGTCCTTAAATACTTAATTAAAAAAAATAAAAAAAATGATAGTTATTTTGATATAGAAAGAATATATAACAAATTCATTAATAAGTACATTTAATATTTTCTAATAAATTAATTATCTCACACATTTTGTTTTTATTAACCAAATGTATTTTTTTTACTTATAAAGTTAATAATTTTAATCAATCTTTTATATGTTATTTTATCTTTTTTATTTTTATAACTTGTATTAATGTCACTCATATTAAAAATGTTTTAATCTCTTTGCATTAGTTTTAGACTTTTAATTTAAGTTATTTTAATTATTATTTATAATACATTTAATACATTTTAAAATATAAAATTACTATCTATTAAAATTATGTAATAAACAATTATTAATTATAAGTTAATATAGAAGATAAAAGGTTAACTCTATATAAACGTATTTAGTTTTTAGCATACATTAATAATTAATATGTATTGCAATCCCTTATTTTTTACCGTTTATAACATTTAAGGTTTATTTATCATAATAATAATAAAATAATTGAGAAGAAAAAGATAAGTCGGAAGAGAAAGAAAATCAAAAGTTAAAATAATTGTGATTTTGGTTATATTTTTTGTTAATTTTTTAATAAATCTTAATTAAGGTTTTTTAAACACTCTATATCTTTTGTATTTTTATAATAACAATTAGATTCTCACGTTTTCTTTCTTTTGGTTTTTTATTTAATAATAACATGTGTAATGTGAAGAATGCTTTACATGTTTATGTAAACTTATCTTTTACATAAAGGGTAAATTAAAAGGCACATCATTTTCTCTTATTTTTTGTTTAATATACATGTAACAAATAATAATAATAATGAATATATTGGTTTATTATACATTAAATAATTGGATAAACATGCGTGTTACTCTCATTTGATTATTGTGGTTATAATAATAATAATAATTATTATTATTATTAATTTCAAAATGTGTGTTATAAAAATAGAAATGAAACATATTTTATTTGGTTGGTATTGATGTCTATGAAGAAGATCAATTAACCAACACAATTATCCTTCAATTTTAAAAAATATATACAATAAAAAACCTTTTAATGTATTAATATATCATGTATTATAATATTATGTATGACATTTTTCATATTATTTTTATTGTTTTGTGCTATAATTAGTTATATATTGGGAGTTAATCTTGCTTCTCTTCAAATAACATTAAAAAATAACATTGAAAAATTATATATGTTAATATCTTAAATAATTTTAAATTTATAAAGTCATATTATTTCCTACTCAATACTTCCTCTTAAATCAACTATTTTAGCAATATTGCCATTCATATAAATTTTAATAAATTGAGCATTCAACAATGAAACTCTCCTAGTAAAAAAATAGTTTATTTTAAAATTAAGTAACACAATTTGTGAAATTTTTTATTTAATTTTATACTTGTCTCTATTATCTTTATGATCATCATAAATGTAAATTTAATAGTCTCCACATTTAAATTATTAGAAAATTTAATTTACTCAAATTGATTTACCATGAAAGATCAAAGTGTATGTTTAAGTGGTTTTTCCTTCAATAAAATTAAAACTTTTTCTAAATTTAAAACAATATCAAACAACTCTTTAGAATTAATTGATTAAAAATCATATTTTATTCAATTAAGGAGAAATGAAATTCAAATATATGTATCATGCAATAACATCAATATGAATTACCTTTGATGTTCAATATGTCACTCCATGCAAACAACATTACAACCATTTGCTTGCATTTTTTATGGAGTCCCAACACTTATTAAAACCCCAATAACATCTAGAGTTTTAATAAAAGTATTTCTAATAAAAATAAATCATACGCTCATTTAATAAAATTATATTAAGATTAAAAAAATACCACCAAAAGATTTCTTCTTTTCCTCAAGTAGGTTCTCATAGTTGATGAGTTTAAATACAAACTTGAAAACACTCAGACTTCTTCATTCAATTCTTTGATTATAGTATCAAAATGAAATTAGATCCTATAATTGTTAAAAGAAACAACACAATATATGTTCATATTTTTATTTTATAGAAAATTTGTTCATGTAATAAACATTCCTTTCAACCAATTTATCTTTAAATCACAGGATATTGGAACTCCAAATGACAGTGTGAATAAAATTTTTCCATAAATAAAATAATAATTATTAATATAAATTGTTAAATATCTAAAAAATCAAATGTAATAATTCATAAAATTACCTTCTCATAGATCAAAACCATTTAAGTAGTTAGATGATTTTTGTCATGTTTCAAACTAAAAACATCCAATAGGCTACATATTTGCACTTTAATCTTCTAATCTTTATTATTGGGAGAAAGTTGATTAAGAAATACATATTTCATATCTTTTGCTTTGATTTTCCTCTAAATATTTTAAATATTTTAGCAACAAAATATTTCAAAATATAAGAGAAAAAATAGAACATAATTAGGGAAAAAAAATAAATTGGTGGTTAAAATCAAATACCTATTTATATTTAGAAAAAGAAATCCAAGTAACTATACCTTACAACCAAATCTTGGATTAAAAAAAACTCTTTAAAACAAAATAAAAATGAAAACGTGTAGGAAGTTTAAATAGTTAACACTTGATTACTCATCTTCTTTTTGTTGGATTTTTTTTTTCCATTTTTCTTTCTTTGGTTGCCTCTTCATCTATCACATTTATTTATTAATAAATTATTTTTTAATTATTTTTATTATTTACATGTTTTCAATTATATGTCTCTTCATCTACCACTTTCATTATTATTTATAATTTTTTCTTTCTTTCATTTATACTAATAATATACTAATTTTCATATATAAATATATATATTTTTTGCATACACATAAGCTAGCATTATATATATATATATGTATGTATGTATATATATATATTTGAAATTCCTTATTTAAAAAAGTACTATAAGTAAATTTTCATCCCCAAGGTAAATGAAAAGATGGGGTTTTTCATCTCTACCCAGCCTTGTTAATTTTCAATGGTTAGAGTGATGCTAAAGTCGTGGAATTGAATTTGATCGTGGAGAAACATTTTTCTCATTGTATTTTAGCCGTTAATGTCAACCAAAACTTAAAAGGAATCAATTACCTTGTTGAAATTATGACGTCAGTTAACCATTTTTTCCCTGTAGGGAACATTCCTATTTCCTAGAGTAGAAAAGCAAGTGAACCAGGACCTGTGCAAGTACCCAAAATCATAGATGGCTTATTAGGCTCCATTTGACCATGTTTCACAAAAACATTTTTCTAAGTAATATTTTATCTAAAAATATAAATTTATTACTAATTAATCAATTTTAATTACTTTTA